ACAGAGAGAAATAGGGAAGAGACAAATATGTAAACATATAGAGATATATTCCTGACAGACTGTGCGTGAAAGAGCGATAAACACACACACACACACACACACACACACACACACACACACACACACACAAACGTACGCTAAAATAAAAAAGTCCAAAGAAAAACATTCTGAGAAAACAGCTGCTCCATGTCACAACAGTAACGCGATGAGCCAATCCATCGGCCGGGGATGAGCGTGACACTGACAGTTTCACGAGACCTCTTCTGCTCCGATTAAGGCGTAAAAAGCAATTAAAACTCTCCCAAATGATGAACATGTAATACTAGAAGGAAACGGTCACACGACGATCAAGATTGCCGAGGGGAACAAAAAACCTTGCGAGAGTAAACGTAAGCAAGATCCATGTCATTAGCCTGCTAGAGAGAGAGAGAGAGAGAGAGAGAGAGAGAGAGAGAGACTGTGCGAAAGAGTGTGAGTGTATAGGTTGAAATCAACACTGTAAGGCTATTTAAGAGGCGGGACATCCGAATTCATTATCCATCTCCGATAAGACATGGTCAAATGGGCTGCGAGCCTTGAAAACTCCACAAAACAGACTCAAGTTCAAGAACACCCAGTTGGGGGGATTCGAATCATGGACGTCCAGTCTGAAGTCCAGCATGGCATCAATAGTTTCTGAGTTATCGAAAAACCCTTTAAGGCTTTGAGTTGCCTATTCTCTCATTAATCATGGAGACGTCACCTCCGTGCCAGAGGATAGTTCACAAATTAAATCGTTAGTTTGTCCGAGTCTGAGAAAAGTAAATGAATTAAAAAATAAATGATTGAAGGAATGAATAAATAAATAAATAACTAAATTAATTAACTTTTAAAAAATCCACCACGACGACGTCGTCGAGACTACATCTTAATAAGAGTACCACGCTACTTGCAAGACAGTAAGTAATGAAGAGTAAAAACCCGATTATCATTATAACAAAGAAAAGAAAGTGAAAGAGCAAACCATATATACACTGGATAAAAAGGTTAAACAGCGCTATCATCCTTTCTAAAAATTGAAACGAAAACACCATAAAAGAGATAAGACTAGAGCTTCTTCTAGAATTTTATTCCTTCCCCATAGTTCAGTCCCCACCTGCGGCGCGTTTTAATCTCAGGTTCCCTGCTCCATTTCTCGACGTGACGTAGGAGGGCGGCAGATTGATTTCCGATGAAACGAATAAATGAAATTTTGCTTTCAAAACGTTTCCAAGCCACTTTCCTTTACGGCCTCCTGCTATCTGACGCGTATCATTAGGGGACGAATGGTGATAGAGGGAGGAACTGGGGCTGAGAGCGCAAGGGGAGGTGGTGGTGGGGACTTGTGGCACTACTTACATGCACACGTATACATAGAGAGGAGAGAGAGAAAAGGAGAGACTGAGAGGGAGGGGGGGGAGAGGGAAAGTGAA